AAATGTATAACAACTCACACAAATTTGATTATGACTTATGAGTATTAAGTGTTAAACCTAATACCTAATAGTTTTGTCCTGATCACTATACTTACTCAAAATATATTCTTTTTGATAAAAATATTTTATGTATTTAAAAATTTAACTATATTAGGTTATCTATTTCAAATTTTAAATAAATGTTTAATTACCATTGTTGCTATTAAATTTATTGTGTGTGCACAACATCGATGGTGTTTTGGTAATGCATATGGCAAATCATGGTCTTCATCATTTAGAAAGTTCAAGTTGAATGCGTCGATTTCTTCTAAATCATTAACAACCGTATCGTTCACTAGCAATGTATCAGTATATAGTCATGCAGTCATATAAATATCAACTACTTTTGTTAATGCTGCAACTAAAAACTATTTAATAAAATAAAAAATAAAAATACACAGTACACATTCTTACTTTGACTAGTTAATATTTTGTTCTTCAAAAAATCTTCTAAAACCGGTTGTTCTAAAGAACTACCAGCATTATGCTTCAATGATCCATCATTGCATCTCATTAAAGTTTTTTTGTTCGCTACATTATCAATGTGATCAATTTTCTTTAATATAGTTGAATGTTGTGTCTGAATAAAATGAAATAATATAACCTTTTACTTAACATTATAAGATTTTATAAATAATTTACATTTTTTGATCAATGGCCCAACTGGGATTTATTTTTGAGGGGACAGAGGGTTATTTATTTTATTTTATTTCATATACACTAGAATACTGGGCCGCTCTGGGCTCTGAGATGACTCGTGTGGGGGCCCATGAAAATACATAATATAGAATAATGAGATCTATGATACACCTTAAGCACTTGAAATTTGACTTTTAAAAAGCTGTGCTCCACTAATTTCGATGTATTTTTGTAATATATTAGATATTTGCTTGGTATTTAAAATTAATTTAACACACGAGATATTAGATGGGTCAACTGTCATAGGCAGGTATGAAATTAACATTTTACTTACGTTTAAATGTTTTTTTATATTAGAGTTTGAACGTGAATCTACCTTGTCACACTTTGTATCGACACAACTTAAGAACTTCACTTTCAGCTTCTGGTAAAAAAATTATCCTCAATGAATCATATTTCATTATACTTAAAAATATTTTTGATAATTTGGCCATGGTAAAATTGGTTCTTCTAAATCTGCAACGTGATCGACTTCGGTCCTACGCATCCTACCGGGAGCTCCCGAAGTTTTCGCGGGCCGACTCGCCGCGATCTGATTGCATATTCTGGTTTTCTAGTTCATTATTAAAATTTGCATACTACTTAGAAAGTGGCGACGGACTTGTAAGTATTTATTATTAATTTTTTAAATTTAGTGTTCAGTATTTCGTTCATTTTTTGTTATTCTGTTTTTGTGCGTCATCTATTGGTCAACGACTGAATTGTCTGATATTGTGTATTTTAGACGTTTTTGGGAACCCTGCACAGTCTTATCAAATATTGCTAGCGGAACATACGTATGTTATCTATATTTGTTGAACGTTATCATATCAGCCTCCCCCCCAACCAATTTTTATTGTTTACAGACTTACAGTTTACCATTATATTTTATTTTATTCTCTTCTATTCTTTATTTCTTTATGATGCACTTAAGAATTTACATACAATAATTGTATTTATTGTGCTCTGACTTCAGAGTTTGATAGCTGGAATTGTATAGATCTTAATGTGATTTTTATTGTAAATACGTAAAATGATTAAACAAGTATTTAAATCATTTCCGGACAATAAACCAATATCAGGATTATGTATAGTAGAAGATATTACCAAATGCCCAACAGGATATAATCCCGTGAGTAATTAACATAATTATTTATGATGAGTCACCTGTCTTCATCGTCAATAAATTATTAATTGAGATGTCTTTTTAATCAAATTTGCATATTTAACAATTAACATAATATTATTATTGTTTCTGCTTCAATTTTTAGGTAATATAGTTTATTAAATATTTAGAGGTACCTACTACCTACCTAATTTGTACACACATTAAATAGATCTGTTATATGTTAAGATATCAAAAACACATGACCAAGATTCAGATGCTGATTTACATATGCAGTCATGGAAAGAGTCTGTGTTTATTGGCAGAAAAATTACAAGATATCTATGCTTATCTAAAACAGAAGGGATTTCAGATTACATTGTAGTAAATATAAATATAATAAATGAAAAAGAATGTCCTCCTGATGGCTACTGTTTAATTCCCAGAACTATTGACAGTGGTAATTATATTGTTATTTATTTTCCATAAATTATTAATATTTTTACTATCCTTATATTTATATCATTTTAAGATCAAAAAGCCTGGCGAAAACGTCAATTATGTTACAAATTAATTAGAAAAAGTCAAGCTTCATTTGCAATTACTGATATTATACTATTAAGTCGATCAAAAAAAGCACCAGATGGTTTTATTTTAGTTGGGTATGATCTTTGATTTATTGTCTAAATGATATTAACTGTTAAAATGGTATAATCATTTTTAGGGATTTAAATGGCTTAACACTTTGTTATAAAACTAGCCCTCAATCTCCAGATGTGCCATTGCCATCATTGACTTATGGGTATGTTAATTAATATATTATACATTTGCTATGTCAGTTATCTATTATAATTTATAACTAATAAATTAATACTTTCAGTTATTTATAAATATTCATAATTTAATATTGTAGATTAACACCAACACTGTCAACAGAAAATGTTCCAAACAGCAATGGATCCTTAAGTTCACTCCCCAGCTTAGAATCTAGTGCTAATGTATTATCCCATGATTATGATCGACTAATGTCATTAAAACCTACACGGCCAGCACCAAAATTACCTCCAACGTATTCATCGTCTAACTATTCTACATTAAACTCTTATCAAGGTATTTGTTTTCTATAAATCTTAAGTATTTGTTTTATTATTTATTATACAATTGTATTCTTTAGGGTTAGAAGGTATTCCATTTATATTGAATCAAAATATTTCTGTGGAAAATAAGTCTATTTTTAAGGTAATAAACAATTAGTGTATATTGATACAATAAACAAATAAATACAACCATTTCATTTTTTAGGATATACCAGAAATTAAAATAAAAACACTCGAAGACCTTGATTTAGAGGTATGTATATTGTGATTATTTAATGTAAATTATGTTCAATGATATTGAAAACTTAATGGTAAAAACACGATTGCTAAGCTCTTCTAAACTCTTAAAACACAACACAACAAATTATTTATTTAAAATTACATGATATATTAAAACAATTTAATGTGTAATTAATATTTTAATACACATTGTAAATTCTTATGAAAAAAAAAATGGGATTGCAATTTAATAATTTAAAATATGTTTTAAAATTTGTGTAAAAATATATAAGGTGATAATTGTAGTTCATAGCCAAAAATAATAATTTGATGTAACTTCCTACAAACCGAAAGAAACATTAGCAATTTTTAACATTTTAACTATTTAATTTAATTTCTCTTTTTTGTACTAAAATAATATTTTCTTGAATTATTCAACTATGTTACAGTACAACTACAGTTTTGAACAAGAACGACAAGTGTAATTTCCTACTTATTTTGTGAGTTGTAAGTTAGACACAATTTTTAAAACTTAAAATGTATTAATTTATAATATGTATATTTTTATACATACGTACATTGTATATAACCCTTAATTTTTTCATCTTATCCTATGTTAGATTATATTTAATTTTACAACTAAAAACTATTAATTATTATTTTTATTTGAATTAAAAATAATCTTTTTAAATTTGTTAGCAGTATGATGATTATTTTTATGATCAACTGTTTTACTATCATACTCATAAGTTTAGGTTAAAATTACTTTTATACTAATTTATTAGTTATTACCAATCGTATATTTAAAAATAGTTTAGGTATTTCAGATCAAACATATCATGACAGTTTAGTACTATAATAACTGTAAGCAGTGAAATCTCAATAAGTTGAACAAAATTACTTTAACATCACTATGTATATGTATATATTATTTAAATGTTATCTCTTATTATAATCGATCTTTGACATTTCACTGCATTTTTAAATACTCATAATTATACTTATATTACAATGTTACCTAATAGATATTTTTGCCATTATAAAAACAAAACTATTAAAGTAATACCACGTGTAAATGTTTTTTAATAAATGCCATAAAAGTTATGAAAGCTGAAAAAATCTTTCTATTTTAAGAAAAATGTTTTTTGACTGTTAGTAATTATTAACAACATTAGTATTTTATTTGTGAGTGTTAATTTGATTAAAATTAAAAATAAATATCAGAGCATTCTTACACATGATTTAGCATCAATTGCTTAACAAACCATATGTAGAATAATTTGTTCAACTTATTCATAGTTAATTTGCATTATTATTACGAAATGAGAACTATTAGCTAATTACAATTTTTATTTGTTGTATTAATTTATTATAATCTAAATATTAGATTTAGTGGTGAAAAAATCCTATTTTTTAGCCAACAACTTTTTTTATTTTTCCCACCAAACCACCCACCTCTTCTATAAAACTATTAATATATTTCATATATAAGGATAAAATTATGTAATTTTTAATTGTTAGTACTCAAAAGCATTTAGAAAAAAAATGTTTTATGTCACTGTAAGCCACCTAATACGCATGAATTATGAATTTTATGATTTTGCATTTAGTTTTATTTATTTAATTTTAATTTTTAGTACTTAAACAATGATTCTGATAGTGACAAAATATTGAATAATTTGTCAATAAAAGTAAAACAGTGTGTTCAGTGGTTCATAATAAACAAAATAGTCATGCTGTATTTATATTTCAAATAATTGGTGCTACTTTAAATTATTAAACAATAATTTAAACTTAAGAGCCGTGCGTTTTTTATTTGTAGATGTTTAATATCTCATTTATTATATCATAAATCAAATAATGAAGGTAGGAGTTAACATTATTGTAAATTATTAGATCACTTAAATGTTTAGTTAATATTGAGCATACAGGGTTCTTAGATAATTCAGTTACAGTTTAACAACTTCATGTTCAATAGATAATAATATGTTAGTTTGTTATATTTTAATATATTTTTTAATTCAACTTGTCACTGTATCATTTAATATTTTTGTATATGGAATGGAATAGTATTATTATATTCCTGATATATGCAATTAAAAAGTATAAGATTATTTTCTTAAAAATTAAAACCTATATTATGAACTAATTTCTAACAATAAAATATTTTTATCATAACAAGATATACAGTAATGAAACTTTAAATGATTTATTTTTGGTTTGTATTGATTCTAAAATTATAAATATAATTCTAAAAACATAAAATATATATTATCGCAATTGAAGTATGTTATAAATTTACTTTTATTTAGGATACAATTCAAATACTTTTTGTTAAAATTATAATCTTTTACTAACATTAATCTTGAAAATGTATTGTTAAATATTATTATTTTATTTATTAATAATGTTCTTCTATTTTTGCATAGAAATAGTTTAATATTACACAGAATATGAAAGTTAAAAAACTACACACATTTTTTTTTGTAAATCCATTTTTATAAAGAAATCATAGAATTTCTTATAAAATATAATATACAACTTATCAAGTGTCTTAGTGCTGAAATGTGCAAAAAAACTCTAGTACAATCAAATTATAGATACTGAGTTTTTGTAATTTAAATTCAGACTATATTAAAATGAAATCAAATATTATTAATACTAAATTAATTTATATGCCTTATAGATAAATAAGTATTTTAGATTTCTTAAATTATTTAAAAATGTTAAAATATATTTTTAAATTCTAAATTTAATAATTTTAACATTTACATTTTACAATTTTAGTAAAAAGATATAAAAATGTATTATCTATTCATATTAATTTTTAACTTACAGCATAAAAGGATTTGTTAAAAAAGAATTATAGAAGTATTAATTATGTTATTCTTAAGACAACTCTTAATGCATAGATGATTTATATACATTAATAAATTATACATATTCCTATTAGCATGAATATTACAAACAACGTGTATTATTAGTTATTCTTATCATGATTTTTTTTTAGTTACACGGCATTTTTAATTTTTAGTAACCTTGTTTTAGTAATTTAATTTAATAATTTAGAAAAGGTTTACTTAATATTAATTTGTCAATTATTCAAACTTACTTAATTATTATATTGTTAAAATTTAAAATGTAATAGTAATGATATATGAAAATAATAATAATAATAATAATATTTTTTTAAATTAAATTTTTAATGCATATTATATTCATAAAATCGTTAAAATATTATTTCACATTTCCATTGTGTATTATCTTTCCATAATTTAAATTACTGTTACCTCGATAAATAAAACCATTTACTGCCTTCTTTAATAATTATTTGCCATTCTTAGTTATGTTTAGCCTCTAGGTATCCATATTTGCTCAATATGAGACTTAGTTAAATTTAAACTTAAGTATTAGGTATTAAATATTTTGTATGTATCTCAGTACCTAAAATTATGTTCAGTGTGACTATTGTCTATCTTATAAATTATAATTTAATGACTGTATTTAAAAATATAAAAAATATTAATTTAATTTAATTGTAATAACACTATTGTATTAAGGATTATAATAATTGTTTTATGTTATTGTATGTATTATGTACCCTAATCTTGATCGAAATAGACAAACCATCATTTTAATTATGCCATAATACTAAAGAAGTATGACATTTTTTCTATTTATATAAATATTATATTAACCTAATATAACTAATATAATAATAAATAATACCAATACCAATGTATCTTATTTTGTTTGTTCTTTATATGTTTATACCACCGTTCTGCTAGTAAATTGTGCAATTGGTTATTGTTAAAAGCATACCTATTAAAATCTTAAATACGTTGTATGTCATGGTCAGCTCCCAGTAGCCAGAACAGCTCCAGAGGCATAGTTTTGGTGGAGAGTTTTAGACATAATTTTCAGAAAACTCATTATTTTTTTATGTTTTTTTTTTGTAATTTTGTTTTTTAACCATATACAATTTCTTAGAGATACAGGCTTGGGAGTGGCCAAAGACCCTAGGACCCTTCGCCCCTGAGATCTGGCCTTCCTGGTAGCCACTTTGTTAAACATTTATATTCATCAAAATTAGCTAATTCAGGAAATATTGAATTAGAAATACATTCTTTCCCCTTCATAAATTATCAAAAATCTTAAATAATTTAATAAAAATTAAATTTTGATTTAGTGAAATTTTTCACCCACTTATTTAGTACCTATATAATATTATGTTAATAAAACATTAAAGTTGTTGATATAATTCTTTAATCTTTCTTTATTAATAAATAATTATATTGAATATATAAATTGTGTACTGACATTACAAACTTCAAATATAGGTATTATACGAGTTCTTTAATGCTTTGTTTTATAATATAAAGTCAATAGTATTAAAATATATTGCCTGCTTTCAATTTTAATATGCAGGTTGCAGGAAATCTATAAAATTAAGTGTATTACCCAACAGTGGAGCAACCCAGATTTTTTTTAAGGAGGGAGGGTTCAAAAGTATAATTATTTTAAATTAACAAGCAAATGTAATTATTATTTTATTGTTTGTTTAATGTAAAATTGAATGATAATTAAATGTAAAAAATAAAGGTATGTACAATGTTGTAGAGTTTATAAAATGAAATCTAAGCGATGTTTTGTACGGCTTAAATGATGTACTACTTCCTCAGGTGTTACACTGACTTTGTAGTGGACATTGAGAGCAGCTAATCCGTTGATTCTTCTTTCTGATGTGGAATTTTTTAAGCAACTTTTGATTCTTTTAAGTGTAGAGAATGATCTCTCAGCCTCACATGAAGTAGTAGTAATACCCAATATCAAGACTGTGTTTTGTGTTAGTTTCTCTGTGTATACCTACTTATTTTTATATTACACATTCACCATAACAGGTGTTCAAGGTATGCTGTGTGCCTGTGTCACCCCCAAAACAAAAACAGTTCTTTACATATGACTTTTTGCATACATGCAAATGCAATACATAGTATAGTACAGTATATATTATAATTATATAAATGATATTACAATTACATTTTTTACAAGAGGGGAGGGTTAAGATATTCAGAATATTTGAAAGCCACACAATATTTGAGCACTCCAATATCCTTGAAAAGCTACCATGTTAGGGAATTAAAATGAAAACAATTGGTATAGCTTTTGTTTAAGGCTTATAAGTTATAACAATATTAAGTGGCGTACTATAATATGACACAATGTATATAAATATATTATACTATAGTAGTATAAATTATAGTCAGTATAGTCTATAATAAGTACTAATAATATTTATGATGATTCAAATACATTAAACACCTGTTATGTCAAATTTGTATGATAATCAATAAAACATTTTGATATTTTAGGTAGGTACCTAATTATGAACGAACTATTTGGAAACTTCAGATTGGTTTTTGATATAGTCTGTGATATCCGATATCTCATCACCATCTCGCAGCCCACTATGGCAAATTATCGCAATAATGTAATATAATTGTGGTAATAGCCTATATAGGTGATATTATAGTAAGGGCCAGTTACAAAGTATTGTAAAGGGAGGTTATTTGTCATATAAATTACAATAAAAATACTGCGCTAAAATATCCACATTATATTTCGAATTAGAGCTTCAGACTTTCCAACTAATTATTAACTACAACATACGGTATTACGGTAAATAAATAAAAATGAAAACATTTTAAAATTATTTTGTTATATATATATACAATATACATGTAAGCGCAATTAGGACACCTAGAGGAATTAAAGCCCTTGAATTTGCATAATAATAAATTATGGCGGTAAAGGAGTACCCAGTATTGTTCACACAGAGCCTCCTCTAGCTGCTCTCGGTTATACAGGAAATAAAAAAAGGAGGAGAATTAGACCCCCACAAAAAATAATGTTCCGTCTGGTTGCTTAACTGCGTATAAATTTATAATTTTTTTTTTAAATATAATCCTTCCAATTGAAAATATCTGTACTCATCCATGTGTGCTAAAAAGGTGGGGCAAGCGTCACATATTTAGGGTTACTAAATTAAAAGATGATACATTAATTTGTTTTATTATTTTTTTATATAAATTTCACATTTGTTAATTTGCTGTACCAAATAAATATTTTATACCAATAATTTATAATATTTAGTAAATAATTATTATTTATTATAATATGAGGGTCAACGTCGGTCATTGAATTTGTATCTACACGATTTCGAATAATAGTTTTAAGGCCCCCTACACACTGCAGCAGTGGAGTGAAATTCTTTTGTCTTGGAGGTGCCTCCGCGATGGAGGTAAATTGTGTCGGGACTCATTTTTCTGTTGCGGCCACCGCTGCAGTGGTGGCAAAGTGGAGCGTAAAGGACACTGTTATCCGGTACCATCGATTATTGGGAATATTGCTCCCGTTGATTATTGTTAATGCATTAAAGCTAAAAATAAATTGGAAACAATGAAAACCACAAACCAGATTTCAACTTAAATTTATAAAATACACAAATAAACGAAAATATTTGTTTTTCTATTAATGTTTCCATTACGGAGTCCTCGTAAATCATAATATAGATTAGGATATACGAGGTACCTAAATACCTACCAATCATAGCTATATAATCTAGTGCTACGTAGTTTGTCCTTACGTAGTACATGTGAACTGAAAATTGTCCAGAGACAAGTTACAAATATCCCAAGTATTAATGCCTAATAATATATTAATATTATACAACTAATTATATTTCAGATCATTAATGAATACCA